TATATAGCTTCTTACTTTCTCATGTTCTTCTTATTTTATTTTTTTCTTGTGTGTTTTTGTTCTACCTTATGTTATTTTTAGTGCTACATTGAGTACGGTTACATGCACACAATAATGTGATTATTGTGGATAGTCAGATTAGTATAATAATTTGATTAAAAGGTTTACATGCTTTGCAAGAAGAACGATTTCCCTAATAATCCTGTTTACATGACAGATATGAAATCAGGCTACCTGATGGCTATCTGATAAATGCAGAAAATCGCCAATCAAAACAAACGTTCTACCACAGCGACCATGACATTTTGGGGATGCATATTTGATTTTGAGTTCGGACATATAAAGTGTGTATGTGAAAACTACTTCTAAGATGCATACATTCACTTGTTCCGAACTCTCTTCACTCGCTCTAAAGAGGGAGGCTCGCTTGGCTGGTGCTAGCACATGCCCAGATCAAACACACAGCTGGAACGCTGTTTAAGGTGTTTATATGTCCTAATCATTTGAAAGATTGTTCAGAAAACCAGGTGTTTTAATCGGCGTATGTTTACTTTGATTTTGACCTTACACCGATTAAGATAAGCAGAGTAAGGTGTTTACATGACTAATGCCATAACCAGCCTACTGCCATAATCAGTTTAATACCGAATTATTACTCTGCATGTAAACCTACTCATTTATATTGGTTACTGCATTGTTGGGTTTGGAGCTTGCAAGAAAGGCATTTCACTATACTTGTGCACGTGACAAGAAAAACTTGAAGTAGAACATACTGTACAGTATTTCACAGTGGAAGACTGTCTTGCTGCCTGTGGTTTTCTCCAGCTCCATAGTAACCTATGTGGAGACCTGTGGGTTGTCAAAGCAGACGATCAACAAGGTGAACATTATAGGAGCCGCACGTACAGTCACCCATTATTCACAGGATACTGTATAAGCCACACATATTCAGCATTGGTCTGTCATATAATTGTTACTTACATAATTTGTTTGCTGACAGTGATACTGAAATGGTGTGGTGAGTTTGCCACAATAAATAAAGCATTGGCGATATTCAACCTAGGCCCTCTGGGTTAGTAGTGTGGGTATCGATCAATGGGATAAGATCCACCCAGGCAGGCCGGGCACCACAGGATGAAGACTGACTGGACTCTGGTTCTAGCTTCCTCCCAGTTCCGCTGCTCCCCTTCCTCCCTCCTCCTGGCCTCCCCTGGGTCCCAACTCCCTACGTTGGGCAGCCTGGCCGGGCTAGTCCTGGCTGTCTCCATCCCTCTGTGAGTCAGTCAACCTTTCCACTCCCCACACCCTGCGTCTGGAAAGGCCAGCAGCAAAGTCACTGAGTGAGGCAGACCTCTCACCTCATCACACCCCCTCAGCCACTCACAGGCCCAGACCCAGGTGGTTGTTGGGGACTGTTTTATAGGACTACATGCATGGGAGGTGACAGGAATAATAGAGTGCTATATATAATTGGTGCTCTTTGTTTCCTGGCAGTGGGCACCCCAGGGGGCAGGCAGTGTGTTTAGCTGACTGTCCCTCCCGGCAGACCCGTGCTGATAAGTCATTTCCAAAAAAGAAATGATCTCATCCCTTCTTCCCTCCCTCCCTCCCTTCTTTCTTCTTTGTTTAAGGCTCCCTCCTTTTTGTGAATGTGTATAAGCTTTTTGTGAATGTGTACGTCTGTGAGAGTGTGAGAGAATGTGTGTGTCTGCCACAGATGACTGGGGAGCAGGCAGGGTTGTGATAAACACCCTGGCTGGGTAGTACTAGGGGATATCAGTCCAGGAGTGGGCTCCATGCCTTAGTGATGAAGTCATTGGGAAAGAGCCTGATTCAACTGGACCAGATCAGGCTGACAGAGTGAGACATGGAATCAGAGGGACACGCTCCCTACACACACAAGCTCCCTACACACACACGCTCCCTACACACACACGCTCCCTACACACACACACTCCGTTTTTTCCCCACCGTATCGTTCACTGTAATTCCACGAACTCTACCGTCACAGATCATTATAATGGATTATTGCTTCTACTATAATTAACAGTATTTTATTTGACCACATAACAGCAATTCTACAGTTTGTTACAGCTTGAACAAAACAAATGAACTGTGTGAAAAAGTTATTAGAAACTTTCAATTGAAATACTTGAATTGGCCCATAAGTAAAATTAGATGGGCACCTTTTATGTGAGTGGTTTAATCATAGATATTCAGAGGTGTGACAAAGACTTGCAGGTTTCAGTGTCTCGGGCAAAATGCCATTAACACCAAGCCTGAGTTTCTGGCTGTAGGCCTATCTGGTTATACTGGCTGAAGTGTTATGTTTGATGTGAACTTGGGATCTGATGGTCTTATGTCTTTGTTGTGATGTTGTAACCAGTTGGACCTGGCCAGGGGGTTAGCTAGCTGAACTAGCTGTCATGTGAGCATTGCTCTCCATCTCTGTCATGTCCTGCATATGAGTTGGATGTGTGTGTATGATTGCACCACTAATGTTAATGTGTGTATTGTGTGTGCTTGTGGTCATCTATGGCTCAGTTGTTAGAGCATGGTGCTTGTACCGCCAGGGTTGTGGGTTCGATTCTCAGGGCCACCCATACGTAAAATGCGTCTGCTGAATGTATTATGTGTGGGTGCTTGTTTGAGAGTGAAAAAGTGTGAGAGAGTGTTTGCGCTTGTGTGTGTATGTGCATGTCTGTGTGTAAGAGAGCGAGAGCAAGTGTGTGCCCCTCTCCCTCAGAGGTGGCAAGCTGAGCTGCTTCAGAGGGGGTCATAGGTTACCTCTGACTCATGTTCTGTGGAATTTGGTCTCAAGAAAAAATAAATAATAATAATGAACGGCAGCAGGAAATGATAGCACATAAAAAAAAAGGACTGTTAATGGTGGTCACAAATTAACCCTTTCATGTTTTGTCCTCTATGTAAGAGGAGGATATGGTGGTTTGGGGGAAGGAAGCAAGTCTGATTTCCCTCCAAACCCCCCCCCCCATCTATCCCCTGGTTCAGCACTTGAACAATTCACACCTCCCTGGCAATTTATCAATGAGTTGATTTCCTCCTTATTGTGACTTGGCTGTGAGTGGGCAGACAGTAGACCTTTTTCTCAGCTAGACTGGGAGCTCAAAACGCTGACTGCAGCTATCTGATTTGGCACTGCTTGTTTCATACAGGCAGACATCCATATCGTGATGCATTATGTACTAATCAATTCCATTCTTCTAAGCAGGGCCTAGGCCCTATCCCCTACTTGTCAGCATGTGGACATGTAGGAGTAGTCCCCAGGTCTGCTGGCAGTGCTTCAGTCACAGCCTCTCGTCTCCTCATCATTAGACAGAACACTGTTGATTTGACCGTCTGACCATCAGCATCTGGAGTATGGAGTGCTTTTTGTGGGGGGGTTTTCAGACATAACAAGCATTTATTGTGTGGGAGTTTAGTCAGTAGGCATCCTGGGAATGTGTGTGTGTGTGACTGTGTGTGTAAATGTGTGTGTGTGTTTGTTTCAGTCGGTGTATGTTTCAGTGTGTGTGTGTGATGATACCTCTACCTCCTGTATATCTGAGTCAGTCCTCAGTTCCATCCACTGACCTGACATAGTGCAGTGAGCTCACAGGGTGAGGAGAAATAAGATGAATCACCTGATTGATAAAGTCACCCCTTCCATGTATCTACGGTATGCATCACACAGTTTATGTGCATCACTGCATGCATGGGCTTCATAACGTTAGCAAGAGAGTAATACAAATATCAACATCTGACACAGGCATTGATCAAAAGTACATGTACTGTATATCAATGTAAAAAAGTGTCCACTCATTGCTGCAAAAGTGATCTGTTATTTTAGGTTAGTGATGCATTACAAGTCATTAAGTCACACCCTGTGTCCTACCTGGCATCATCAAATAGCTGCTGGTCCCACGTTCAGTCCACAAGGCTGCTTTAGCGTGGGCTTTGTAGTCCAAACATACTACCTTATCTGGTCAATGGCGCCATATATTTGCTCTCAGTGTCGCATATTGATTAAATCTAACCTTAAGTTGATTTATTTGTCTAAAATAAGGCTTTTGCTAACTTTTGATCCCATATAAGTGGCCTTAATAATGCAGGTAGGCCTATATTTTACATTTACATTTACGTCATTTAGCAGACGCTCTTATCCAGAGCGACTTACAATATGTTATTGTAAGGACATTATATGTAGCTTCAGTTTGATTATTTTTGTTAGATGTATTTATTTAGGCTCTGGTATATTGTGAGTCACTGAATGAAGACCCGTCTGATATAAAAAGTATAAGATTGAGGATTTTTCTTTTTTTATAAATATCAAATGCTTAAGTTTCTTAATTCAGCAATCATTTAAATTATCACTAAATATGAAAATGGATATTGTGATGGTATTCGAAATTGATATATTTTTTTACCTGCGAGTTGTAATAGTTTTGTCTCCCGTCGGAGACATTGCAATGTTTTTTCTCCCGTTGGATTGCATGATATTATTTCAATTTGGATTCCCTTGTTATGGTTCACTGAAAATATTCAATGTGAGAAATTGAATGTAGCGTTCAATGTAGCATAGATTTAGAATGATCTATTAATCAGAATAGACAGAATTGATTCAAATCTATCATTTAAATTTGTGATATGTTTTTGTTCAGTTGACTATAATTATGTCTGCTTGTTGTTATTTTAGGGAGAAATGTAATTTTGAAACCATTGACATTATTTTAGCTAGAATCCATAAACATCAATTATGACTGATCTATTTTATATTCTTATTACAGGAACTAGATAAAAGCCATATTCCTCTTTAATAGGGAAATCTTGATTTTGTATTTGATTGTTTAGTTAATTCTAAAAGTGTCTAGGTTTTTCTTGTTTGTATTTATTTTGTCATTCATATCACATATATGTATATTTCTCCACCCACCCACACTGTAAGTCTATAGTAAATATATTGATGTTATAGTATTGTAAAACACATGATTTCAACAAACATGGTGGTTACTAGGTTTGTTCAGTAGCTGTTGAGCAAATAGCAGGAATTAAAAGTTTACTGAATACTTTATTTGGATTTTAACTGGATTTTAACGAAAGCTACTTCCACTCTCCCTCTTATAATTAACAAGCCAGCAAACTCAGGTTGTGGTGACAAAAATAATTGAAGAGAATACATTTCATTTAAAAACTCACAGAGAGTAAATCTACTACAATAATGTAACATTTTTTTAAATCACAGGCATTTTAATGCATGCCTTCAGAAATCATCTAGATTCCACATACTCAAATTCTCACTGGTCATCAACCCTGCACCTTAGAAGCTACTGCCCTATGTACATAGACATGGAATCACTGGTCACTTTAACAGTGGAACACTGGCCACTTTAATCATGTTTACATACTGTTTTACTAATTTCATATGTATATACTGTATTCTAGTCAATGCCATCCTATTCAGCTATTGCTGTATATATACTAGTCTATCCTACGTATCCTACAGATAGATATACTAAATATTCTATCCACATCCATTATGTCTATACATCCCATCATATATATCTATATATATATATATATATATATATATATATATATATATATATATATATCTAATATTTTATATTTCTTAATTCCATTCTTTTACTTTTAGATTTGTGTGAATTATTAGATATTACTGCACTGTTGGCGCTAGGAACACAAGCATTTCGCTACACCCGCAATAACATCTGCTAAATATGTGTATGCAACCAATAAAATGTGATTTTAATGTAACATTTTAAATTCCTCTTGAACAAAAATACATTATAATCACTGTCTGAGCTTCTTACAAAAATACAGCACAAAATAAGGTTTTAAAGATACTCACAGGTATATAAAACAACGCAAGATTAGAAGAAACATATAAGTCCAGAAGGTTCACAAAGCATTGAGATAGTTCCAAAAGCTGAAAACAGGCAGATCTATGTACATAAGGACACAGATACAGCCCTAAGGTATTAGGTTTGAGTTTCTGTCTACTTGTTGAGTTATTGCGCCAGGTTCATGACTCACTATTGCTCATCGTACAGGGCATGAATTGAGCCCGCTATTTCTCAAACCCTGACTTTCTCTCTTTGTTCTTGTCAGTTTGTTTTTAGTCAGTTGGAAATTGAATCTCTCATTTGATTTTGAATAAAAAAAATTGTCTTAGAGTTAAGTTATTACTAGGATTGTTGTACTAATTAGCATTTTAGAAGCAGTTTGGTTTCTAGGTGTGTAAAAGGTGTTTAGGATTAAAGAATGTGTAGGACGAATGGGGGAGGGGACGAAACTTTTATCCACTCATCTTCCTCGGTTGATCTTTAGATCCATCTTTGGATCTGATTTTGTGTGTTCTTTATTGTGTCAGTTGAGCATGATCTCTAAGCTTTTCTTTGTGATTTGCAGCCTTTTTTCTGTCCATTCATGATGAGGATATCCGTAACTCTGTGTTTGGTTAATGATTAAAAGAAACGTAACTGTTGTAAACTCATGCAAACGCTTGCTGTGACAACAGGCTGAGACAACTTGTTTTGTCACACAATTAGAGGGAAGGTGTGTGTGTGCGTGCGTGTATGTGAGAAAACACATGGACATGTGTGGGGAATTACTGTAGTTTGAAAGAGAAAGTTATCGGTCCTATAAAGTCAACGGTATATGACCATGCCCTGCCTTTGTGAACATACGGTTTGCGCTTTGAGTTGTGTCTTGGAACATGCCACCCCCACCCCACCATTACAGATGTATAAATCAGGAGTTGGAATGCTTTTAACAATGGTGGTAAAGGGATATAATTGACAGTGTTGTGCCACTAAAGAGTATAAGTGAAGGTCTTTAGTATGTATTTGTTCAGTGATTAATCACTAACTCCTGACTAGGGATGGGCCATTCTCTGTTCCACAGCATTGTCTCTCTCTCTGTTAGTGTGCTTGTAGTTGGTTGCTGAATCTTGTAAAGGGTTTTCCTAATATGGGCCGTCTTACTGAGCCTTCTCCTCCTATGGCTGGTAGAGGGCAGGGCCTTCCCCCTCTCTCAGCCAGTGATGACACAGGCACGACTCACTTCCTCATTAATTGGCTGAAACCAGTTCTTACAGGAACCGCCGGTGATAAATGTGAGAGTTCTGAGAAGTCATTCATTTCTCCTCGCTCGCTGCAGCCGAGAGGAGAGGAGCACTGCAGGGGAGTTGAACGGGTTCGCGGATGTGTGGGTGCCGGAGCCGCAGTGTGTGTGTCTGTGGACTTAGAGGACAAGCCAATTTTTTCCCCTTTTTATTTTCTCTCTTTAAAAAAAAAAACCAAAAAACAAGCTGAAGAGTGTAGGATATGTAGCTCTCAGTACATCCTGTACTTTTCAGTGTTTCATTTTTTTTGGTTCTGAATTCCTGTCTGTGGGGATGAGCTGTTTGAAACCGCAGTCTCTCTCGCGCGCACACTCTGTGTGGAGGGAGGGAAGCAGGGAGAGAGGGAGGGAGGGGGAAGCAGCACTGTACAGGAGGCAGTACAGTATGTCTCCCTTTGTTGCTGCCCTTGGTGGTGAGTAACAATGATGTGACGTGCTCTGTGTCCCCCCCTCCCTCCCCTCTCTCTCTCTTTTTTTCCCTCCTTCCCTCCCTCTCTTTTTCCTTCAATCTGTTGGCTGTGTGGCAGTGCTGTCCCAGTGCTGGGCGCCTCTCTACAGAAGCCCTTCAGGGAGTACTTGGAGGCTCAGAGGGCCAAGATGCACCACCGCACGGGAGAGGGGACCCCAGCTGTAAGTACCTCGTACTCTACTCTACCACCTCCCTCTATTCACTACCTCTCTCATGGAGGGGCCGTTTCTCTGAAGAATGTATTGCCCTCGCCGTCTTTCTTTCATTCTCTCTCCACTTTTCTTTCCACTTTTCTATCTTTTTCTCTCTCTCTCTCTTTCTCGCTCTCTCTTTGTCTCTCATTAATTTTCCATTTCAAATGTATTTTTCACTTTCCTTTTAATCCCTTTTTCTACTCTTTTTCACTCTTTCTTCACTTTTTTTTCTCTGATTTTTAATCCTTCCATCTCTCACTGACTGTCTTTCTTCTACAGTAGTGGGATGAATATCAACAGTGCAGATGATACCGTAGTCCAGCAGTAGTAATGTAATAGTACTGTACCGCAGGGCCTCGGGGCAGCGTTTAGGGTGACAGGGAGAGGGTTCGCTGGGTGCACGGCGGGCTGGGCAGGCTGAGGGGGGGGCTAAGAGGGGCTGGGGCTAAGGGAGAGGGGGCCAGTGTAGGGTCTGGCTGTAGCTCTGGTAGCAGTGTTACCGCTGTTAGCACTTAACAGTGTTAGCAGTAGGTATGCTGAGTCATGCTCAGTCTGAGTGGATGGGAGTGTGTGAGTGGTCAGTCACTCCCCCGTGTCACAGAGTGCCCCGCCTGAACCCATTGCTAGTGCTGACTGGGGACCAGGGACCGGGGCGGGGTTCCTCCTGCTCTGCCAATAACAATCCATCCAAAAAAGCAGTCTGGGACAAAAAGAGCCAGTTATAGCAGGAGCCATATCTCTTTGAAAGCTTTTTTTCCTTTTCATTCTCTCTCTCCCTCCCTCTCTCTCTCTCTCTCCTCCTCTCTCTCTCTCATCTCTCCTCTCTCTCTCTCTCTCTCTCTCTCTCTCTCTCTCTCTCTCTCTCTCTCTCTCTCTCTCTCTCTCTCTCTCTCTCTCTCTCTCTCTCTCTCTCTCTCTCTCTCTCTCTCTCTTGCTCGCTGTCTCCCTCTCTCTTTCTCTCTCCCGCTCCCTCTGTCAAAGTGATTCATTGAAAACGTTTTTATAAAAAAGGAATGGAGAGACTGAGTTGCACAACGAGAGATTAAGGCTGTTTCTAGAACAATGTTCCTTTTTTTCTTGTAACTTGAACCTCCTGCAGTTGCAGGAGAAAAGCGAGGCAATTTAACTTTGAGGAGAGTGAGGCTGCCAGTTGGGGTTACCAGGGGCGAGGGAGGAGGTTGGCGGGTTCACTTTTTACTACCACTGATCTCTATCTCTCTGTCCTGCACACATGGATGGATGTGAGAGTGGATCCCATCCCACACAGATAGAACATAGGTTCTACTCTAGCATCAAGACTAGAGACAAGGGAGGTGGACTCCATAGTAATCAGGGTCTCGCCCTTCTATTTCTGTTCCGTTCCTCGCAGAATGAAAACTGGCTGTCGTGGGTCTTTGAGAAGGTGATCGTGGTCATGGTTTGTTTCTTTGTCTGCCCCATTGTCAACTCCATGGCCCAGAGCTATGCCAAGCGCCAGCAGCAGCAGAAGTACTATGAGGGCAAAACCAAGTGAAGACGACACTGAGAAGAGAGGAGAGCAGCTAGCCTAGTACACATTCTGGGCTCTCGCTCAAATAACCCTCAGCACAAACTTTCTGCTTCTTCCTCATTTTTTCTCTCTTTACCAATAATCTCCAATGAGACACAAACCGCCATAATCTGAATTATGGGTGTCCATGTTATCGATCGATGGACATCCACCATATGAAGTAACCGTTTTCTTTGTTTCTGTAGTGGTACTGAAGTTGATCTGTTTACCTTGAACTTGGACTTAATTTATTAGTTTGCCAGGCTTTTTTTTATAGAGATGATGGCTCATAGTTTTTGGCATCCTTGAGTGGTTGTTCACTATAAGGTAGGTGCTTGGCCGTGTGGTGTGTTTTATGGATAGGACATCCATTTCATTGAGCAGCTCTACAGTGACTGTGTGTGGGTGGGTGGGTGAGCAGCTCTGCGAGGCCTTAAGTACTCTTTGGTCCAGCTTCCACTACTAGAACTAATGGTCATAGAGCCACTTTATTTACAGGATTATGTTTGGCTTGGATGGGTTTTATTTGACTAAGGTTATATATTACTTAAATTGCGCAAGGCCTAATCTGTTTTTTCCCAGTTAATTTATTAGGAGTTGTGATTTTCGTTGTCGTTTTTTTCAACTGTTGCGGCATTATGGTAAGACAAGGTATGTACATGAAATGCATAGATTGTTAATAATCTTGTAAATCAGTTTTTCTAAATTCCACAAATCTGCTGTAGATAGACCTAAATCAATCAATATAGGGAGTTAAAGAACCTGATTTGTATCTGTAGGCCTACATACATACTGCTATTGATGTCATTTTTATGCTGTAAAATTCCACAGAGTGAGCACCTTTGGATCAGACAATATAAATCGTCCATTAATCATTCTGCTGGTCCCTTTGTCTGGAGTTATTTTTCTACTTCCAATAAGAGAGCACATGAGTCAGACCCAGGGCTACTCAACCAACCAGATGCAGTGATGGATTGAATTGTGTGTGCCACTTTTGTTACTCTTCCTTATCGAGCCTTTCATTTGGACCCCAAGTTTTGTTTGGTGGTATCTGTTTAGTTCATAAGATCTTTTAGGGGTTTATAAGATATTTTGTGCCTGGTTTGAAGCGTGTGGTAAGTGTTCCCTTTGTCTTCAGTGCCTGTAAAGCTTGGACACTCTGCAAGCTCATGTTCACCATTAGTCTGGAAGGAAGAAAGGAAGGGCAGCACTTAAAAAACCATGTTATGCCATCAATGTTTCTTTTTTTTCTGTCTCTTAAGCTCGTTGGATAATGTCAGCTGGTTCGTGATCCAAGATTCCTCTTTTTCTTAATTGCTTGTGAAATGTTTTTTTTTTTTTTGGCACCGTTGCCCCGGTATGTTGGTTTGGGAGCTCCGGGCAGGCAGGCAGGGTGGGGAAAGAGAGCGAGCGGAGAGAGAGAGAGAGAGCGAGTGCAGTGAAAAGCTTCTGTGGCATTACCTCGAGTGAACCCTCCTAGGAACTCGCTGCACTGCCCCAGTGACGGAGCCAGGAGACGAATCAGTCGAGTAGATTCAAAACAGAGGGGCACTGTTGAACGCACAGAGCATGCCTCTCTCCGCTCTGCTGCAGCTCTGCTAATCACACCATTCAAATACAGCCTCTCTGTCTCAGGGTAAGTAATGGAAGGATTTTTTTCCTGTTCTTTCCTCATGTTGCGTGTGTGTCTCAGGCATGTCCGTCACTCTCTCGGCCTGTCAGATAGCTTATCAGACTGGTGTTGGCTGTTACATTGCAAGGCGACAACAGTCTGTAGGCTGTCTGACATTTCGGGGTCTTTCATCTGACCAGCATCCTGTTTCTTCCTTGTCCGTCTGGTGGTGTTGTTGTCATTGTTGAAGCATCGGTGCCCATTTTGTGCTGTGTGGTCTGATGTTATAGTTTCTCTGTTAGCCCCTCTGTTTGTAAAATGATGTTTGAGACACAAGTCTATTGTATATTTACTCTTCCATCGATGTGTTCTTTATTGACTTTGTTTAAAGTCGTTATATCTCTGTCTGTTTGTACATGAAAATGTATTGCCGTAAATTTGTCCCATTGGTGTGTGTGTGTCTCCATCTTTACTTTAGATTTTTTAACCAGCATCATTGCCTTCCTGTTAAAAGGGTGTGTGTTTCCGCGGTTTGGCTCAGTCCCCTTGATTTCCAGAGAATCAAGAAAGCACACACCTTATTGCAAACATTCCATTGTGACAGACAGCCAGTGTTTGCTATGGTACACACCGTCCTCGCCTCAGATAGGTCCACTTTCCACTATTGCTCAATAGCTGATTTTTTTTTTTGTCTAACGTTGCATTTTATTGGTTTTTTATTTTTCTTGTTTTTGCTTCAGGGTTTGTATTTACAATTTTAGAAAAAGCTGAAATCATGGCTTGACCATTAGATGTTCTTTCTGTGGTCATAAATTCACAGAGCCAAGATGACTTACCTTTCGAGAAATTACTTTTGTTTTTCCAGAATATGAGGGAAACATTTTCCTGGTTATAAAAGCGAAATCCTTGGATAATATTGGAATGGTCCCGCTGGCTCAGGGAGTATGTTTTCCTTGGCAGTTTCAGAACGTCCTGTTCCATAAGGGAGCCCCCTTTTTTTCGTATGTGTTTACGTTTCTATGTGTAAATGTCTGTGTAATGGTGGGTGTCTGTACTTCGGAATTATTTTCTATGTATGTACTGTTTTATCTGTTTTCTCTTTAAATAAAGTGAACTGAAATAAAGTTGCTGGGTTTTGTTCATTGTTTTTTAATCATGTGATATGCGGTGACTGTGACCACACAACCCAGTAGGACTGACCCTAGAGTTCCACAGAGACATTCACAGATCAGCCTTGGGGAGGGACAGGAAGGACATGGACTCGTTTTCTCTCATGTTTCACATTTTATCGTTATCACATTACAGACAGACTCTCACCCTTCAACATTTACATCATATTACTTTCAGATTGCATATCAAGTTAGCCGTGCGAGGTTACAGTAACCAATAAGGGTTAACAGAAAATGACTATTGGGTTACAGTTAAGGATTATTTATATCTGAATGATGGACTTACCTAGAATAATCCTCATTACCATCATATCATGTTTTCATAGGTAGTGTAGAAGGCTCATCAGCCCTGCATATGGGTTCAGACACCTAAATTAGTCCTAGGGTGGATCTAGATTTATTAGTATGAGAAATTAGTTCACAGACCCCTCAAACATCTGCAGGTATGCTCTCTATTTGACCACTTCTATTTCTAATGGAGAAGAAAACAGCAGGCAATTGACAGAGTAGTGAGTAGTTTTGTGTTCTGGGGACAGCCCCTGTCCCCGCAGGAGGCCTTTTGGTAGGCCGTCATTGTAAATAACAATTTGTTCTTAACTGACTTGCCTAGTTAAATAAAGGTTAAATAAAAATAAATATAAATATAGCCTGTATGATGTCCCAGTCGTGACACAGGGCTCTCTGTATGATAAGGACTGTACCCAGAACAGCCAGCCACACCCAGACTCCCTTCCAGGGTTTATGATGATGACAATGATAATGCTGAAAACCAACCAATATGTAATTATTGTATCTTGCCTGTCCAAACAGGCTTGGCTAGCGGTATTCAAATGATGAGGCCACTTTTGTTCTATTTAATTTTTTCCTATGAACCACCTCACCACCAGTACCAGTGTGGCTGGCTGCTGCTCATCTATCTGCTCATGTGTTGAGCGTCTGGGAGCCTGCTGGTGGTTTGTGCTTTAATGAGTGCCTGAGTCACACACACACAGAGCTCTCTCTCTTTCTGTGGGTTCTCCCCTCCCCTCCCTGTCAACACTAACCAGCGAGGCACGCCGGAATATCACTGACTTCATTTTCACTCCCACAACCCAACGAGCCCACATGTGGCTATCCACTTAACTCCACTCGCAAATAGTGTTGGATAATTTATTCTGGTGGTGGGATGGGTGGGCGTCTAGCTGATTAAGATATTCATGTGAATGTATACTTAGTTCCAGGGTGATGCATGTAGTGGTCTACTCCAACAGGCAGGTCTGGGATGTGCCTTTGATAGCGCCCTCCACTGGTTAGCCATTGTAAACATCTGGAAGAAGGCCTACTGTTGGTCAGGGTTTGGTACAGTACAGTACCATATCACATCTGAGTGCACCTCAGGAGCAGGCTTACAGGAGAATGAAAAATATGGCCTCTTTCTCTTAGTATCTGTCTCCCACGAGAAGATCAATTCCTAAAACACAGAAGAGGAAGACAAAATGGCACAAGTCTCACAACTAATCAATTTATTAAAAAGAACAACCACGTTTGTGCTGAGGTGGGAGCATGAGGACCACATGACAACATTAGAGCATGAGGGTCCTACAAGGGGAAGAGGAAGATGGGTCCTGAGACTGAGGGTGCTGCTCTTACGTCTCGGTTGCCCTGTAGTCTACCCATATGCTCAGTACCCACTTCCTGTGTTAGTTAGTTAGACGTAATTTGGGTTTCGGAAGCTGAGAACACAGATTGGGGGAATGAGTCGGCACTGGTTTTGTTGGGCGCTCATTGGACTGCAATTTGAAACGGTTGACCATTTAAATGTTAGTTTGCAACCACTGGCATGCCGAGACAGTAAAAAAGACATGAATTGCTCATTTGCCAAATCATTATCACTGATTTGCATTTGTATGTCATTTGGGATTAATGTGATAGATGAAAATCTTCACATGCTCCATTCTGCACAAACCGCATGCATTGATGCAAGTCACCAGTCTCTGTTTCTACTGAATATGCATGTGGGCTTCATTTCTGAGTAAGAAACCCACAACATTTACCTCATCTGTTCCAAACTGACCATAGAAACGTTATTGGATTCCTCTGAAAACACACACACACACACACACACACACACACACACAAACCACTTCCAAACTGACCATTGTGACCTTATAGGGTCTTTCCTCTAAAATCACACATGCACGCAGGCTCGCACACAATAACCACTT